GACGCTCTGGTTTTAGTGATTTACCTCCTTACTCCCAACGTGTTCTCAACCTTCACATCCGCTACACCAGTCACCTCCACTGCATCCTGCGATTCTGCTGATATTTAAACATTCTGGCAGGTAACCAAGAGAGGGAGAACCCAAGACACAGGCACAGCAGTGGGAGTTGCTGCTCAGTGTGGATGTCACTGCCGGTCTGTGCAGGAGGCAATGGACTCTGCAGCACCTTGGAGATGCCCTGATGGGGATTGTGCTCAGCTTGAGTGTCTTCAGCACACCTGCTTGGCCCCAATCCCTCCTCTTCTCCATCCCTTTCCTATTCCCGTGCAGGAGGAGGGAACCTTCCCTGGCTCTGGCAGAGCTCTGTGCAGTGGCAGCCCAAAGTACTGGGACCCGCATGGCTCTAGCACGCTGCTCAGTGTGACCCTGCACTCACTGGGCTGTGAGCATGCTGGCAGGCTCTCTGGTCTCTGCTGTCTCACTGACATAACTGCTGGCCCAAAACACTCCTTGAAATGCTCACCAGGACATGGCCGGATGCTCTGGTGGTGTTCCCAGCTCTGTGCCTGCAGGCACACAACTCTGCGCCCCACAGGCACAGGGCTGGTGACCCCCAGGTGGCAACCCCAGGACAGTGGGGACATGAGGGATGGGGTGAGCGCTGTCACCACCCGGTTGTGTGCTGTGGCTGCTGCAGCCCCTCTTGGCTCAGCACGGATCCTGGACCCACCAGGGCTTCAGAGCCCACACCTCAGCAGGGATGGGATTCTGTTTTCTCTTTTGACCTGTTTGAATTGCCACAGCCACTCGTGACCACGAGGCACAGCCCTGGCAGCTCTCCCTTTTGCAGGTGTTTCCATACACGCAGGCAGAGATGCACAGAGCTATGTCACAAAACAACGAACAAACGAAAAAGAGGCTGGCAAGTAAAAATCTGCACTAGTGAGGTGCAGGGGGTGAGGATTTTCCCTGTAATTTGATCAGTGGGTTATAGGGTTTTAAATTATTGCATTATTTTCACTTTCAGGCCTTTAAAGAGGCAATGCCCCAAGTTATGGACCAGCATGAGGGATCAAAGAGCTGAGAGACCTTTTATTATTTGTAATCAATGTTGACACTGAGAAGGACACTTACATGGGTATGCATTCACACCACCTACATATAGTGGAGATACCGATAGGATAACATTAGGGACAGCCTGGACTGGGATTTCAGCCCTAGCAAAGGGCTCCATCTTTCAAGGTAAGAAACCCCCATGTCACTTACCAAAAGAAAGGCCTGGCCTACACAGCTGAAGTGGAGGGGGACAAGTGGGATGGCAGGGGAATGAGACAGAGATGGGAAAATTACTTTTTATTCAGAAGACCAGGGAAGGGACCTGCAGGTGATGCAGAGATTGAAGGAAGGGACAATGTCACACGCTCATGGAGGTGGCAGCTCCTTGATGGTCACACGAGTGCATGGAAGGATCAGCTTACCCCTAAATTCAGTGCAGGGTCATTAATAAGGTGACGAGTGTTGTCCAGAATGACAACAAATCCACCCAGTCTTTGGTACAGAGGCAGGCTCGAAGCCGTGGGTCCTGCTCTCTCTTCTAAGCATTTAGTGCTTTCTTCGGGGGAGATGGCAGAAAACAGGTTTGGAAAGTTTATCTGCGGGACTGCAGTGCCAAATGTCTTAGCAGGGACAATGGTTAAATTTAACCTTAAGCACAAACCAAGTGGATGGATGAAGTTTCTCACTCCCATGGAGGGGCAGTGTGATCCCAACAGTTCCAGGACAGGGACCGGAGGTGTGCAGAGTGGGGCGGCCCCTGCGACAGGCAACAGCTCGCTCCTTGGCAGGAACAGTCCTGCCGTGCCCGGGCAGTGCCATGCTCTCGGTAGCAGCAGCTCACGGGGGCACTGGGAGAGGAAAGCTGGGATCACTTTGCACCTTCCCACTAAGGTACCACTCTCCCAGTTCTGCAGTAGCTGGGAGAGAAGCAACGTTGCTACACAGCCTGAGCCTGCGGAGCACTGCCTGGCTGCAGGAAACCCCCTAGAAATCCCTGACCAAACTGAGACCTGGAGCTACCATCCCCAGAGAACCTCCTGTTACAGATTCCTAGGACTCCAGCTATTTATAAACATCCCGATAAGGCTAGAGTTCAAGAACGCACTAAGGTTTGTAACTGCAGAGCCAAGTCACCCGCTTGGGCATCTTCCTCATGCCAGGGAATTCAGAAAGGGCATCTGCTATATGAGGATGGTCAAAATTGGCCCCCAAGACAATTTGTTGCAACAATATGCTGGAGAATGATCAACTCCTGGAGCTCCTGTTGGGATAATACCTGTGACAGAGCTGGGCTGCTGAAGCACATGAAACTTGCCTTATCCAGGAGCTGTACGCCAGGGGGAAGTACTGCTGGATCAGAGGTCAATATGTGCAGTGTACATAATGTGCTGGTGGTCTGTCACGAGGGCTCCTGTGCACCCAGGGTCACAAATCACCGCTCTGTCTCTGGCCCTCCTCTTTGCTGTTAGCATTGCAAAGGCAAATACCAGCTGCAGTGTGTGCTGACCTTATTGCTTTATAACACCAGCCTCACAGGTTTGCTTTTAAAAAACTAGTTACAGAGGTATATTAATTAATTAATTAATTAAATCATAAAATCTGCCACCTAGTGGCAAATGAATTTATTTGGTGGCAGGTACTGATGTGAGCATGGCTTCTGCTGTCAATGGTGGTATTTCAAAGGTGTTTTCACTTAGCAAATTCTCAGCTAAGCAGTATTTGGAGCATACAGGTTTAAAGAATGCTTTGGAGCATGTACCGAGGCATTTACAGCATGTAGGTGTTCACAAAACCCAGTCACTACTTGAGTGATTTGCTTCTGTGATCTTAACGTCCTTTCCAACCCTAACTATTCTATGATTCTATTACAGAAAAGGTCCCACAGATGCTCCTACCAGCCCAGATCAGCATCCCACAGGATATAAAATGAATTAGGAATTCTCTTCAGAATGCCCCTAAGATGTGTCCCTCAGCCTGCAAGTCCTGTTTGGATGTAAACACTGGGAGTCCTGATCAGTAGGGAAAAAATGGCTATTTGTGCCTCATTTCTGCAAGAAAAATGTATACCAAGCAGTTTTTCCTTCAGTAATTGAAGTGTACTTCCCCCCAGATGCTTCCTTGTGTCCCCTGGAGTGCCACACCAACCTTCTCCACATCTGCAGCATGAGGAGGTGGGAAAGGGAATTACTGCAGCCAGTCCTGGTGGCCACCTCTGCCACTGGCTCTGGAAACTTGAAAAGGGGCAAGAATGAGCTGAAGATATTGGAGTTGGACACCAGGTCCTGCAATGGAAAACTTCAGGATTTCAAGACTGAAAAGTGACTTGCTTACAGAGTAGGAGATGTTCATAGCTGCTGCTGAGTTACTACAAAGTCAGCTGCAGAGAGCTTCTGTTACCTGGCAGAGAAAAAAAGGACTGATGATGCCAGATGATTTTGTGTTGGTAACAAGGCCTGGCATTTAATTACAAGGAAATTGCCAGCTGGAACAAAATACAAAGAAACATGCTGGAGTTTGTATCCTGAAGTCTTCAAATAAAGGCTACATACCTTCCTGGAAGTTAGACTGCGGGCAGTTTAATTGCGGTATAAGATAATACAACAGATTAGGGCAGATGATCTGACAGTGCCTTCTGGTCTTGAAATCTGGGAATAAAGTTGTATCTGTCAATAAAGTCTTGCTGCTTGGGAGTGTAATTTGGTGCTAGGAGCCTAATTTAGGAACAAAGTGTGAAGAGCATATGTTAAAGGATGAGCAATAAGGATAGGAGCAGTCATAGCCAGCCCTTCCATTGCTGAGGGACTTGACATATTCTGCAAGCCTGAAGTAACGGGTAGATGAGAGGTGTTGAAATCTGCTTCTCTTCTGCACACTTTGACAGCTTCTGTAGAAATAGTTACTAAGTGCAAAGACTTCATCCCAAAGGGGCATCTGTTTTATTACTTGATGTGTTGCTTTGCAAGGTGGTCTTTGCTGAGGGTCTGTAGCATCCCCAGTCCCTATCCCTGACGCTGCTCTCACGGAAGGCTCCCTTTACAGGCTCCTCGTTGAGGTGTGGCTTATTTCTAAACATCCTCAACCAGCATCAGCAGAACCAGGCTACTTGTGGCATAGGTATATAAAGGAGGCTTGTAAGAAAGACGGAGAGAGACTTTTTACAAAGGACAACGGGTTCTAAGCTGCAAGGGGGTAGATTTAGATTGGATGCAATAAAGAATTTTTTTATGATGAGGGTGGTGAGCACTGGAACTGAGGCCAGGGCAGCAAATGCAACCTCCTGTCATCACCCCCATCCCACTGATCCTGTTGCTCCCTGTGCTCAGGGAGAGCAGGGGCTGCAGCTATGTGAGGTCCCACTTTGGGCCTTGAATTTTTCATTAATCTTATCTTGAAGAAATTACACTGACAATTCTCCCCCTCTTCCAACATGAGAAATGTTTTTATATTAACTTGGAGCTATCAATTCCTACAGCAGGAAATGCTTTAGTCATCCCCTCCTCAGCTGGTAAGTGCCCTGCTTTAGTCCCACCATCTTTTAAGGAGAAGTTCTCTCTCCTTCATCCATGGCTTTTCCCTGCTGGGCAGCCTCTGCAAGAACCAAACTGAGGGAACAAACAGCACAGCTTGTTTTGGGGGAGGAGGCTCCTCCCCTCAAGGTGTTTATTATTGGTGTTTTCTCCCTAGAAATATCCTACAGCTCAAAAGGACGTGGTGGGATTGAGAGAAATGTGACCGAAGGTAAAAGGTGCCTTTCAGCCTTTGAAATGCATGAGGTCATATGCAACAGCAACACCTGCTCTGAACCACGCTACCTCCAGCCATGCCTTTGGTACACAGAAAATTACTGCAAAGTATGCGCAAAGCCATCTTTGCATCTTCTTGCTGGCACTCATTTTTTGCCCACCAGACCCCTTCAAGATGAGGCTCACACACATATCTGCTCAAGAGTTCTGCCTTTTATTTAGGAAGAGGCCCAGGGAGCTGCTGGTGCATGATTAAGGGAACAGACCTAAAGCTGATGGGGAGATGTGGCAGAGGAATGACTGTGCCTGGGTGCTGCTCCCTGCTGTGGCTCAGGTGCTCGGAAGACAAGGGCAGCACCTTACTGCTTCGATCTTCAGAACGTTATTGGGGCATAACGAGTAGGTCACCTCGTCCTCACTCACACCCAATGGCAGGCTGATTTCCTGAGAGATGTTTTTGTAGTTATACTCCTTCCCTCTGGAGGTGCTGAACTCCTCCTTGTGCTCCGCTACCACCTTCACCTTCCCGTCTTTCACTGTTACAGAGATTTCCTTGGGGTCAAACCCCTTCATGTCTATCAAAGCCAAAAGTCTGTGATCATGGAAAGAATGTACCATCTTGTTAAGTCTTCTTTGTATGCTGGAATAAAAACAAGAGGACAGCCTTTCAGTCCAACTCACAGAGGAATGTGTGGACCAACTTCAGGACAAGAGAAATAAACAGGAAACTACTGGATCCCTATTCATGCTGATGCATAGCAGTTGGGGTGGTTTCTGCACCATCAGAAGGAGCTCCCACCTGCATGCCACAGCAGTCAGGAGTACTCTAGTGTCCTCTCTTGGGATGGGGCAATTGAGGAGCTTAAAAGCTCTTTCACCTAATACAGAGAAGCCAGCACTCGTCTTTCACACATACATACCACCACAAAGCCATGTGTGTCCATCCTACACCTTGTCCTACATTTTGAACAGCTACAAGAGATCACATTTTCTAGTTTTGTTTAAAGTGATCAGTGGATAAGAGACACATTGGCAAAAAAAAAGCCCAAACCCAAATGATCCTGCAGAGCTGGGCTGGAGGCTCACTGAGCCATTAAAATGGTTTCTAATACTGTCAAACAGTGATTCTGCTCAACCAGAGGGGTGGCTGTTACTGAAACCATTTGTAAAGTAGGCAATGGAAGGGCCATCTCAGATACAATAGCTAAATTGAACCCAAGGCAACAAATCAAAAAGATAATGGGTGTAATGGAAGAGGAAATAGCGTAAGCAATGAGGGAACCATGATCACTAAGGTGAGAAATCCCTAACAAGCAGTTCATTAACCAGGCACCCCCATTTCAGCAATCCTACTTAAAGCCTGCAGAGATTCAACCTGGTGTGGGGATTTGGGGATGTGGTTTTTGTGCTCTCTGAGAGCTGGCTCCTCCACCTGTTCCTCTGGTCTTTTTTTATAGTGCTGGTCAGAGGAGAATAAATGTGCTGAGGAGAACTGGAGCTTCCCAGCATTTTTTGTGGGCAGGGATAGCTGAATTCCTCAGCGCGATGGGCTGAACTCCTGCTGTAGTGTGGTTTCAGATGGCAGTGGTATGGATTTGAGCTTTAACCAAGAAGCTGTCCCAAGTGTGGCAGGGCTAGGGGGGAGCCTGGCACTCAGGGAGAGCCTCATCACACCAGTGGTCAAAATGGAGATGCAGAAGTTCTGACACTTATTCCTCCTACTGTATGAGATGGAAAAACATGGACACATCTGTGGTGTGCTGCACCCCTTATGCAGTCACATTTTGGCTAATTATGAAGATAATTGTTTTACCAGATTTAAACTGATTTTATGTTGAAGACAGACCCTGTTCCACAGCTGAACAGCTTTGGATCTTCCTGTGTACCTTACTTCAGGTGCAGTTTGCGAGATGGTTGATACCACAGCACCATGGTCCAAATTGTTTTTGGCACAGGTGCTGCCTGCATGGCTCCTCTCAGACTGCCTGGCCATGCCTTCCCATTTCCTTTTCAACTAACTTCTCCGAAGGTGGCTATTTCTCTCCTGTCCTGCTTATCTGTTTACACCTCTGCTCCTGGTTCTGATGCCAAGCCTCCCTTCATCCCATCTTAAAGGGTGCAGATGCCTGCCGAAAGCAGGGGAATCAGAGTTACCTCTTGAGCTCCCGCTCCACATCCATCCTCGCGGTGATGGCCCTTCTCTCCCAGGGGCAGGCGTCAGGCTGGTGCAGGCAGCAGGGCCGCACATGGTGTGGGCAGCACGTAGGCAGATCCTCACGGAGCTGCTGCAGGTGCAGGTCCAGCAGCCTCATCTCTCTCTGCATCTCTGTCTCCACCTGCCTCAGATCTTGCCTGGCTTCTTCCGAAAGGTGATCGTGCCACGACATCGTGCTGCAAAGTGCATTGGGGCTGCGGCCGCGGCAGCCTGCACTTGCCAAGGGGAAATATTGCCTCGAGCTTTGTTGGAGCTGAGTGTATGAGCAGCACTGGCGGTGCTCCTGCAGCCTTCCACCAGGCTCCCTGTGACATCATGGGAGCGCTGACATGTCACAGCTCCACAGTTGCCATGGGAGGCACAGCCCAGCTCCATGCACAACACCACCTTTCTCCTGCTGCAGCTCCCACCATGGACCAGGGGAGCCCATGGCAGGGGGCCTTGAGGAATGGCAGGGACATGTGTGCAATGGCGGGGCAGTGGAGCCATGGGCCATAGGGAGTGTGACTTGGGTGAGGTTTCACACACAATGCTGCTTCAGCATGGCTGTCCATGCTGTTCCCCTCCCCTGCCCTGGCACAGCAATGCAGAGGGAATGCAAGCTGCCCATTTCCACTCCAGACAGGAACCACCATGAATACAGCCCAGGTCTCTGCTCGGGCTTTTAACCTAGGTTTCCTCTTTAAACTTGTGGGGATTCCCATTCCCAGGTCCTGACCGCCACTGCCTTGGGAGAAGGGGAATAAATGCACACCCAGCAGCAGGCTGCTGCCAACCTGCTGAAAAAGCACGTCCCCCTGCAGCCTTCCCCTCCTCTCTGCTTTTGCTGCTGTTTACTACAGCCTCAAATAAAAGCTATAAATTAAAGAAAGCTGCAATTGCTCTTTATGGCTTTCCCCTATGTGCAGGTGCTTTGTTGGACACGTGAAGCCTACGTGTGTTTTGCTGGCACGCAGCATGGCCTGCTGTGGTGCTAGGCAAAGGCAACCAGAAGCATCGGGATGGTCTGTGGGGAGCTGGCACCCCCAGGAGCACGAGCAGCTCCCCCAGTGAGTGCCAGGGAAAGGCAAGGTGCTCACAGTGTGGTCCAAGAAGTGTCTTCTTGCCTGGTGTGCAGTAAGCCATCCAATCCACACACTGTATTCAGGCCTGGGTGCTTGGTTGGACTTCTCCACACATGATGCACACCCAGTACTGGCTTTCCCATTGCTTTTGTACACAAAATTACACGCTGGTACCACTGCCCATTACAATGAATGTAATCTACGTAGACTTATATTTGTTGTGGCATTCCTTCTCATCACTATGCCTGCCCAGAGGAGGGGACTTCAACCCTGGGGGTCTTTTTGACCTGCGTGTGTGAGTTTTAGTATTATAATAAAGGCACTTTTACTTCAGGACACCTTAGAAAGTTAGCTTCATTGCCAAGTTGGTTAATTGAATGGTCACTTTGCCTGGAGCAGACCACTCGAACCAAGCATTGGGCTAGGTCATCCAGTCAGAGTCCTGGGGTACAGACTACAGGAGCCATTACAAAGCAAAGGCACCAAACAGCAGGCTGTGTCAAATACAGCTTCTGCAGGAAAAGCACCAGCTTGAAAATGATTTCAAGTTAAACCTCCCTGGCGCAGGAAATGAGGGGGGTTGAGGATTCACCATGCACCCCACAGGAGAGCAGGGAGGCTGCAGGCAGAGGTGCCCGTGCGGTGCGATTTTATCTAATGATAAAGTTTGTCACCTTTTGAGCAGAAATGTGCGATTTGATGGTGATACCACAACAACAACAGATTGCATGGAGCATGTTTTCCCTTACAGATGCCAAGCCAGTGGTGTGGGATTCTGTGATAAAAGGAGATGCTAGCAAGTCCTTCTGAGGCCAGGCTTGATATCTCAATAGGCTGGGGAGAGGTACATAGGTGACCCCTAAACTGACTTCAGTTTTTGGCTAAACACTCTAAACCATCCAGAATGTAGGCCTTGCCTCCCTCTACCTCCTCTCTGCCTTATCTCCCAGCCTTCCCTCATGGCCTTGCTTCTCTCTGAAAAGACTGTGGTGCAGTTGGCATCTTCTGCAGCCTCACCGGGAGTAGGTGACTGGTGAGGCAGCCGAGGACATCTTAAACAACTCAGTGCTCAGTCAAATTCCCACAGCCCCCAAAAGCCTGTTGGGCCCATGCACCAGGCTTGCTGTTTAGTGGGCATCAGCTCACAGGGTTTTCCATGAGCCTCCAGGATGACAATGAGCTGTGGGCCACTCCACTCACTGGGGTGTTTGCTGTGCTAAATACCCAAACAAAAAGAGCCTGCATGGTGCCTTGTGAGAGAGATGGTGGTCACGGACTCCATCGGGCAAGGGTGTTTCACCTCTTCCCACAAAGCAGGGCTAGGGGCAGGTGAAGGATGAAGGTCCCACTCCCCAGTTTCTTCCAGCCCACCCTTGTGCTGGGGTGAGCACCTCTGTGCCACCACCACATACCACCAGCCGCGGACAACACACAAGCTCTCTGTCTGCCAAGGCTGTGAGGTCAACCTCCTGAAGGCAGGCACTGTGTCTTAAGGCATCACTATAAACAGGTACGAAGACTTTCTGAGGCTACTGGGTCTCCATCAGAGACCTGCATCTGCTCCTGCAGGGCAATGAGGAAGACTCAAGGCATCCCCAGGTTAGGAGAAAAAAGAGTAGTGCAGGTGGAGCTGTTAAGAAGACATCACTTCAGCAAAGCTGGAATGAGAGAACACCAGCCTTCCCCTTTCACTCCCTTTCTCCAGCTGGTGAGCTGCAGAGGTGGCACAGGAACCAGCCAAGTAAACAGGAACTGGGGCCACAGCTGTGTGAAACCGCTTGTCCAAAATGCCTGCTCCTTCTCCAGCCCCTTCTGAAGACACTCAACTCTGGAACAAAGGGCTGGGCTCCTGACTCATGAGGAGCCATCCAGTTTACAGAAGCTGCTCACTTCGCAGGCAAGCTAATGTGCCATGTGTTAAACAAGCATTTCTTGATGGGCTGCTTCCCTTAGCCAGAGCCATGTCCACTCTTCCCCTTCCTCCTCAGCTCCCCAGCACTGATGTATTGTCCTGAGCTTGACCAGCCCCAGATGGGAGAAGGCTGATGGCTCAGCCAGGCGTGACAATCATGCTGGGAAGCATCACACACCATGAGTAATGCTGCTGGTGCCTCTGGGATGTATCAGGAAGAGCTTTGTGCTGCAGGAAGGCGAGCTGCTCTGTAATTATTTCCTGTGAGCCGCGGGAGAGCTTGCCTGCCCTTCCGGGCACAGATGAGTAATTACAAGCAGAGTAACCAACCGTGTGCAGGTGACTTGGCCAACATCACTGCTGAGCTAGTGACTTCCCAGGCATGGGGAAGTGGTACCCATGTTTACATGGGTCTGCCTAGCTGGCTCCACTTGAAAGGGGCACCAAACACAGCTGAGAAGGTATGTGGAAGAATGGGAATTGCTTTGAGCACAGGTCAGCTCCACCTTGAAGGTGTGTTGTCATTTCAAGAATTAGTTCAGCTCCATTCCCATAGGGAAAGGAGGGACTTCTGCCATGCGGTGTGTTACTCCAGATGCTGGTGGGGCAGTCCCAGTACTCCCTCTAGCAAAGAGGGTCTTTTAGCAGTTCTCCTTCACTGCAAGTCACCCATTGCTGTAAATGCAGTGTGCACATTGCCGGCAACATGCTGATACGTGGATGCAGCTGCAACATGTAGAATGACAAGGGTAAAAGCACTCGGGTATGATGCAGGCTTCAGCTTATTCAGGTTCCTGCCCAGTAAAGTCAAGGTGACTTCTGCTAAGATCTGGGAATGAAATATTCGGGGCTGTCAAGGAAATGAGTACCCTATCAAGCCTAACTTGTAAATACTGTTTTGAAATTGTCTTTTCTTATCAGTGGAATAGGACATTCTCCAGCTTTGAGTCTGCTGCACTCCCAGGGAGCCTGCACAGTCAGATCTAACCCAGTGTGAGGAGGAGGATGAAGGACTGCAGAGACCACAGCATCCATCTCTGATCTGGATGTTGTCAGTCTCACAGATTGTCTTCAACTCACTCCCACAATGATCTTAAAGGCAAAAATATCCCAACACAGCAAAGTCAAACACAGCCTAGGTTCTTTGGCTCATTATTTCTGAGCCCTTTAGCATCCCTGGCTGTCAAGATCTTCCTGACACCCATGAAGTCAAGAACCTTTCTTTCAGCATGTGAAAGCAGAGTACAGGGATGAAAACTGGAAGATGTCCTTCAGACCACTGCCAGGTGTGACTGCCTTCCCCTGTCCTCACTGTGGAGCCAGGGACCTCTCCACTCAGAGTCAGGGGGGTCGACGGAAATGGACTTTAGGATTCTCCAAATGACATGAAACTTGCAAAAAAACCCCCAACCCTAAACCCACCAAACCCAAAATATAACCCTAAGGACTGGAAGCCCTGCTGCCTTCATTGCCCTTGCAAATATAATGCCTGAACAAACCAGTTATTTCAAAGCCTCTCTTGGTCTCTTTTGAGCAAGAACAGATCAAGTACAGCAAGTACTGATCAATTTGAACAGAGTTTGCTCAATGTATTTTCAGACCTAGCAGGTTTCAACAGTGTCTGACATCCTGATTTACAGACATCAGCCAGGATCTCTTAACACCCCAACCACATTCTTAAGGATATCACTTTAAGCCCAGACTGGACTAACCCTTGTACAGAAAGCCAGAGATTGCTTAAATGTGAATCCATACAGCATACAGAGCCCTGCAGCTGAAATCAGGTAACCATGTGCTCAAATGGCTAATAATGGTCATTTTCCCCTCTCCTAATTTCCATATGGAACAGAAGTAACTAGCCATGTAACTGTGCACCCACGTGTCCAGCCAAGCATTGCTGAAAGGCTTGGAGAAGACCCAGGGTGTCAGGCTCCAACTCAGCCTCCTGCTCTTCAGAGTGGCACTGGATTCTCATACAAACCTGTAGAATTAGCTCCTGGGGATGGGATTTCTGGATTCCCAACACACTATTTATGTAAATGATATCCTTTATTTATGTAAAGGATAACCTTTATTTATGTAAAGGATATCCTTTGATATCCTCTTGGTTTTACCAACAGATTTAATACTATTTAACCTTCATGGGAAAAAAAAAAAAAAGTCATGTTATATCAGTAACTGCTTATTACATCTTTCCTCAAGGAATTCTTCCTCCACTTGAAACTCATAATGGAGCAATTGAATTCCTTCAATTCAAATTTAAATGATTTGTTGAGTATTTTACACCAACTCACTTCTCACTCTGCTGCTCCAAAACTGATGCTTAG